GCGTCTTGACAGATTACTGATGAATGAATGAATAATGAAGCCGATCACAGTGGCCGCGCGGTCTGAGGCATGAACTGTCTTCGCCCGCTCGAACACTAGGGTCGTGGGTTCGAATCCCACTTGACGCATTGATGTGTGTGTGTGCGTTTATTCTGTTTGTGCTGCCACGTGTGTAGATAGAGGCCTTGCGGCTGGCCGATCTCCTCTCAATGAGCCCTACCGACTGTAGTATTACGGATCTGATAAAGCGGCCAGGGCCCCACAAAGGGATGTAGAGCAATTGATGAATGAATGAATGAACGAATAATGAATTTTGAAGAAGTGGCTGTGCCCTAATTTAAAGTACTTCCCCTACATTTATCTCTAAGAATTGGGAAAACCACGAAAGAAACTCAGGATATTCTGTGTACCGGCCGAGATTCGAGCCGTGTATATCCCGCACACAAGTCAGAAGCTGAGTGATTCTTCTTTGTATTTTCTTCCGCCTCCCCCTCCTACTCTTGAATGAGTTTGGTTTTTAGGTTAATAAATTCTGTTCCATCTCTTTCTGGGATAACCTCGGTTTCTTTTGCATGTCGGTTTGTACTACAGAGTAGGTTAGTAGGTTGGTTAATTACAGTTGGATATGTATGCGTTCGTTACACATAGTGCATGAAGTGGACGCGTATTGGGGTGTTACATGTGTCGGCCCTTCGGGGCCATCTTCGGAGTCTACAGTAAAGGAAACTTGATCTACAATTGCTATAGATCTTAGTATACGTGGCGTAGTTGGTTGAGGCACTGTGCTACAAGCCGGAAGGTCGCCATTTCGATTCCCGATGAGTTCATTGGATTTTTCAGTTGACATAAGCCGCACTGTGGCCCTGGGGTCGACTCAGCATCTTAACAGAAACGAGTACCATGAATCTTCCTGGGGGTAAAGGGCGACCGGCTGTTGCGTAAGGCTGACAACTTCACCTCCATCTGTGAGCCGATTGTCAAGAAAATGTTGGAAGCCTCGACGTCTGACAACCGTATGGCCCTCCACGGCCTGTTACAGGGATAGCATTACATTTCTTTTACCAGCCATAAACTTTGTAATTGGTAAAAATTGTAGGTGTTTAAATATTATTTCAGTAAAGGGGTTTATTGTTTGTGCTTTATATATTTTCTGGTACGAGTATATAGTTAGATTATTTACATTGAATTTGGTTTGCCATTCCAATATCAGTACATGCGTCATGGCGAAGATGTAAGGGAAAGTTTCAAGTGTTCGGGTGTTCTCTGTTGGGTCCGCGGTAGGGAGAACATAGGAAGGTTGCGTCATGTATAATATATATTTGTATATTTTTACCTGGGAGTTGGGGTTCGATTCACGTCAAAGCAGATATTCTTTTCTTCCTCATATCCAGAAATGATTTGGGGCCTAACCACTCTAGTAGACAGTTGGGTACCGAAGCTGTTTCCTCGGGGGGGGGGGGTAAAGCGACGGAGG